CAGAAACCACTTCCCAGAAACCACTTCCCAGAAACCAGTCACCAGAATCCAGTTCCCAGAAACCACTTCCCAGAAACCACTTCCCAGAAACCACCTCCCAGAAACCACTTGAACCAGTCCCCAAACCACTTCCCAGAAACCATTTGACCCGCGTTCCGAAACGATCCGAATCCGCGTTCCGAAACAAACTGAATTCGCGTTCCAAAACGAGGCGGAGGCCTCCGGGAGCTAGAGATGGTTTGGTTGACTACGGGAAACTTGGGGGCTGGGTCTCAAAGTTGGGTGGTTTCAGCAGGTGAGAGGGAGGGGCACAGAAGGATACTGAAAGCGGAACCCAGCAAGGAAGGAGAAAAGCAAAAGCAACGCCGATGCAAAGACATGTAACACTTTTGCTCAGAAACGGCGGCTATTCAAATAGCCATGCACAATGGACACGCACATTCATCTTGGAAAGCCTTGGGCCCCAGGATTCCCAGGCTCAAGCAGCCATTCCCACTCTGACCCTGTAGATGCTGTAAATACATACTGTTGTACATGCATCAGGCAGGGAAAGTCCAGGCTTTCGTGTGGAAAAGGGCCTTTTTGTTCCATGGCGACGGCGGATAGCATGGCCTTGTCGTCGGGGTAGAAATACAGAACAACCCGAGCGAGTTCCAGTCGCAAAAAGAAAGATTACCGGACCACTCCGGATCCCAGATATCCCTACCGCCAAGCCGGAGCCGGTCCAGACTGTAAACGGAGAAGCGGCAGGTCGTGAATGTGTGAGTTGATGATGAATCTCGAGTTTGGGGGACTACCGAAAGTCTACCTCATGTTTGCACTCAGGTCCTCACGTCTCAAGCAAAAGGAATGTTTCTTGTTGCGTCATATTGTCAAGCGAAATCAAACCTGAGAAGGGAGGGGCCGAAAGCCAGCCCTTCAAGCAAGCCGCAAACTTCTCTACTTGGGGGGACCTAGCTAGATCCGAGAACGTAGCCCAAACCCATGACAAAACGATCAAAAGGGGCACCACCACTGGACTACAGCAACTGGGGAGGACCTAGAATGACCTACACGGCCTAAACAGATTTCAAAAATAGCACTCACACATGCCCACCCAACAGACCGCAGACATAGTCTTTCAACGTATGTTCTGTACAGCTACTTGGGGCGACTTAGCTAGATCCCAGAAGATAGCACTCCTTTGCTGGGGGCCCTTTTCTCTTCCCCAAGGCCAGGCAGTGGCACTACGTTCACTGGCTTGGCTTTCGGAGCTGCAAAGTGGTCAAAGCAAAGGATGCGTGGATTGAGCGGTTGATCACTCACCTAAGTTTCTCTTCTCCTAGACTACCGCGAGTTACCACAGTCTAAGAAGTCATCTTGGGGTTGCCCTTTTTGGTGTGAAAAGGGGCCCAAGCTGGACAAAAAACAGGGGGCGCCCCCTAGAACGGCGAATGCCCAAGCAGAACGTGGGCCCCCGGCACATCAGCCATATTCTCCAACTCATACATAGCGACGAAGAGCGGCAGGTTGTTGTCCACTACAAACGATATCCTGGCCACTTTGTGATGCGTATGATGCACTATCTCGCATCACCAAGGCCCTTATAACCATGCATGTTGACTTCATTTTGTCCACAGTTATTTGTTCGCTCTCCCCCACCAGGCTCTGGGTTCACCCTCCCGAAAACTCCCATTGCAACCAAGGGTGCACGCCTTGGAACGAGCAATGGCTGCAAAACATCCTGCATGTTCAAGAAGGCCGCGACTCGTTTTGGCACCTCAAGATACAACAAAGCTTCAATGTCACGGTTGTGTTCGACTTGGGTTAGGTCGGCCGGACGCTCTGGATGCAGTTCATTGATGGAATCGAAGCCTGGCCAAATCACGATGGCTGCCGATGGCTACCGTGGAAAACGGCAAGCGTTGCTCCAACTAGACACATGTTTGAGCCATGCTACGAATGTCTTGCTTTCAAACGCTAAAGTCTACCCATGTGCGCTTAAAACACCAAACCTTCGGAGATGGAATCCTCCTGCCGTTATGTAAGGACGAATCTATGTCGGAAGGTTTGGTGCTTGCACGTTTCGCTGTGTGCAACGACCCTCCCAGACCTCCATACAGCAAGGGTATTTTGAGCACCTCATCTGCAAAGTAGCTAGAGATGAATCAAAATCGTGCTTCTTACCTCCTGCAAAAGAAGTGGATGTCCGCGTCTTGCCTTGTTCTGGAATGACCAAAACAACGCTTGCAAACACTTCAGCGGCTGCCCAGCCCGCAAACAAGCTTCCAACTGAACTGCTTCTGGGCCTGGCGTTGCTCAAAGATATGACAAACATGATGTTTAAAAAGCACAAAAAGGTTGTAATCAAACTCATTGGAAGCTATAGGAAGAAGCACCAGAAGAATCTGCATCAGCAGGTGACAATCTTGCATGATAGCCTGATAGAGAACACAATGGGAAACCAGGACAACGACTGATTCGGCGCTCGTCTGCTGGCAGCAATTCATGGGCGCTCCTAGCATCCAAAACGTCTCAGCCCCGCCATGCCATTCCAGCTGCATCAATTTTGAAAGTTTAGCGTAGCAGGCGTGGCAAATGCTTTTTGCGCAGCGGTTCGGGTGCTGGATTGCTGGACTCATTCGCGCCCAGCCTTACACAGCGAGTCTGAGTCGGGAAAACAGCCACGCCCTGCCACTCTGATGTCAGGGCGCAGCCACGACGTGAGTAAGAGGACCCCTCTGTCTCTGTCCTTCAGGCACCTTGTTTGGCTAACTCCATTTTCCAAAGCACCTGGTAAAGCACACCGAGATCCTTCAAAACCTTCAAGGGTACAGCCACGGACTCTTCACCTGTGCCATGCTTCACATCTCCCAGCCATTCTTCTCCTTCCGCATACTTCTTGGCCCATTGTGGCAAAGGAGGTTGTACAAGCAAAGCCCTTGAAAACGGAGCTCCAACCAAGTTCACCAACTCAAAGCGGCCTTTGTTCTGATTTGCCACATCCATGCATGCCTGTCAGGTTTGGGCAACTTCCCCCACTGAGGCAAGCATCAATCAAAACAAAAGTGGGTTCATACGCCGAAACAAGCGAAACGAGAACGGACATCAAACAAGAACAGTTCGTGACGTCGAAACGAGACCCAAAAACAGGGTTCGACTCGCCCAACGGGCCTGGACATACCCATCGTAGGTCCGATTGTGGGATGGGAAGAAGCGAAAGCACTCGTTGCATGGGATCAGCGCACAGGGCTTCCCCAGCGAGGCCGCAAAGCGCAAACTGGGCTCGGTCGCCTCATCTCCATAGAGTGAGATGATGGCACTTGCTGAATCCACAAAGCCACGGTGACGTTGGTAGAAACCTTCATCAAACATCTCCTGAATAGAACGCAAACTGAGGGACCCTGAGGCTTGGATAAAAAGGGGCGTGTTTATGTGTATATTTTGTATTTATGTCCCTTTGTCCAAACGATTCATAAGGTTTCTCTATGCTATCTATCCTTTCTCGCCTTAACTCCTGTCCTGAAAGAATTGAAATTTGGGGCACTGTGGCATTTGGACCATCTGCTCGATGTTGGTCAAGCGGTTGGTTTTGCCAGTCATCCGCCAACTTGGGTCCACCACTGTGGCCGGGATTCCACGTTCCAGAAGAGCAACAGCAACAAAACCAGGTTCACCTCCATGAAGCCACATTTCGAGGCAAACGGTCTGAAATCGTCTCTAAGACTGGACGTTTCATGAAGCACGTACGTGGAGTCACTCCGTAGAAACGAGCAACCAAATGTGGGTGCATTAATATAGTAGGAAACCCCCAAAGACCACCTGGAAGAAGGGACACAAAAACAAAACATTGCTTGGAGACCTCGCTATTAAATACACACCCTAATCTGCTTCTTGGAACTTCTTGATCACGTTGACGACTAAATGTTTGAACCTTGGTATAAACATCGCATTTTGATACCCTGAACCGACCTGTGGTTGGGATGACCCTTCCAAATCAATACCGAAACAGCTACAGATTCAGTAGATGGTCCCTGCCTCCGACATCAATGACTCCGCTGCCGCTTCTCAACAGGTCTAGGCCCCAAGTGCGGATCATCCAATCCACCACGCACTTGCCCTCATTGAGCTTGGTTTGGCACCAACGATCGCCGCAAGGGGTTGCAATCCAGTTGGCCTCACATCGTGCGAAGCTCAAAAAGGGATGTGTCGGCTTTGGTTTCTCTCGGGGAGCCTAATTGCTTACAAGAGGTGGGAAGGAACATCTATAAAGCAAACAAGTGCACAGAATCCTTCTGAAAACTGGCTGTGCATACCAAGCAATCAAGCTCTTGCGTTCAGGGCTCCGGTAACTTATCTGCGACTGACTATGAAGTGATGTGTGTCACGGCATCTCTCATGAAAAATGACAAGAAGAAATGTGACAGAAAGAACTGAGAAGGTTTTGTATCTCCTCCATTCATCTCCTCCATTCATCTCCATGTCATTGCTTCAAGCCGGCCCCGAACAGAAGCAATAACTCAACAATCGTGACTGTTTGTTTAAAAGTTCAACAACTGTTGCAGCTTTGCCGCCCATTCAGCTCGAGTGCGTCCGGAGTATCGGGGCTCGTTGCAGTTTTGCTGCCAGCCCCACTGGCAATTTTGGCAACCTGGATGCGACTACAAACGAGGAGAATTGGACTTTTTCGTTTGTCAAGATCCTTCTCTACAAACATCTTCAAACAGGTTTCGGCAATTTGTTGAGCCGCCACCTGGATTCCAGCAGTTGCCGTTGCATCCACCCCAGCCACAGTTGCAACCACACTGTTGCCATCCGCACGGGCACTGGCATTGCCACTGGTTTGGACACATGCCCTGTTGGCATTGGCATCCTGCATTGCCTGTATTGCCTGTGATGCAAGCGAGGGAGTTCAAATACTAAAATAGCAGCAACACATTTCCACTATGTCACCAAAGTCAATTCCTTCACTGCCCTGCCACAGGAAATCAAGAAACATTGTTGGCTATTGAGTCAAGGCACCACAGCAACTTTGCCAGTTCCCGTTGCAAGCGCAGGATGGCCAGTTGCCATTACATTGGCTTGCCCCCTGCATGCCACACCCATCCATGCCGAAGCTGCAGCCTTGCATACACGGCATTGCTTGCTGTTGCATACCTTGCATACATTGCATGTCTTGCATACCTTGCATGCAATTGCAATTGCCGTTGCAATTGCCGCAACCGCCGCCGTAGCCCATGCTGCTACCGCAAGGTGCGCTATTTCCTGTCATGCAGCCCTGCTCAGGAGTGAGTTGCATCTGCGGGCAGCCCTGTTCCAGAGTGGGTCCCGATCCAGGGTGAGTGTATTGCATGTGCGGGCACTGTTCAGAAGCCATCGCTGGATTGGGCTTCCCAAAACTAAAGTGTCATCCTTCCTTTTGAGCCGTGCACGCCCAAGCTTGTCCGTGCAAGTCAAAGCCCCCAGTGGTTCACATGCCGGGAAGAGTATAAAACAAATCCAAGCGGAAATGTCATCTCCTACAATCCCTGCTTCTTGGTGCTTAGAGGCGTAGTGCTTCTAGCTCAGACCAAGGTCACTTTGCAGTCCTTGGCTGCAGGCATCCAAACCTACTGCAAAGCTGTGGCTGTTGACACCACATGGCGCATCCAAACCACGTGCCAAAAGAAGTATGCTACATTCTCCGTTGCCACAGCCAAAGAAGTCCGTCCATGCCGCCAAAACTGGGCTTCCAGCAATTTCTGTTACACACTCCTAGAGGTGATATCAGCGATGCCTCGGAGTTCGGATGAACCTGCTCTGCTACTTCGATCCGGGATAAGCAAGAATTCCTCCTCCTCCTCCTCCTCCTCACCTCTGCCGGCTACAAAAAAACAACATGTGTTTTGAAGCCGCAGGTGAATTCCTTCATCCCCATGATGCTCGCAGCCGCTCAGTCTCTCGAATCAGCTGCCAAAGTCTCTGTCTTTTCCTCCTGCCTGGGACTTAGCCCGTTTGGCTCGGGCCACGCTCCAGTGAGCTGCCGACCTCACTCAAGGGGTTAGACAAGGACTCAGAAACTAGTCATCGAGGTCCATTTACAATTCGAATGGCGAGGATTCTCAGAATCAAAGCTTCCAAGTCCAGCGCAGGTCACTTCATGTGCATCGCCACCCTGTGATGTCACAGTAAGTGATAGGCCCTAACAGCCTGTGACACCCCAATTGTCCTTTTTCCCATCTTCGAGTTGCCTCAGTCGGCAGCAGGATGGGCAAGTCGTCGAATCCACGGCGAATCCTTAGTTTGATTTAGGGTGAAGCTGGCTGCCTTGATTTCCAGCCAAGTAAACTAGGGAGTGAGCAAGAGTTCTCGTGTTTGTGCGGTGGGCCTTGCAGCAAACAAGGAGTATCAGTATCCATGGATATCCGCAAGCTGGCACATGTGGTTGGTGTTGCGACGAACTGGGCATCGGGCGCGCAAGGGAGACCATCACTGTCCATAAGCAAAAACATCTTAGGGGAATCTCCAGCATCAGCGATCCCCTGCAAATCCAGCATCACTCTTTGAGCTCTCATGTAAGGCAATGCTGCGCAGCAGAACCCAAAACAGCATAACACGCATGAGGACATGACACTCAAAACAACAGCCTTTAAGACACGTTCCAAACCAATTAGCAATGCAAATCTGCCATCCGTTGCTACAATGTAAAAAACACATGTATAGAGCAACAGTCGGTGCAGTGTATGTATGTATGTATGTATACGCATAAATTCATAAACATAAATAAATGCATGGGTACAATGAACTACATATGAACACACATAGTAGAAAAAATATCCCGGCAAGAGACCCCAAACAGTGTGTGTGAGGTCTACAAGCAAACAGTCTAGAGATCCAGAAGCATTGGGGTCCAGAGAGGTGATGGTGGTGATCAAGGTGGGGATCGTGGTGATGGTGGCGGTGGTGAGTGAGTGAGTGAGTGAGTGAGTGAGTGAGTGAGTGAGTGAGTGAGTGAGTGAGTGAGTGAGTGAGTGAGTGAGTGAGTGAGTGAGTGAGTGCGTGCGTGCG